CATCAAAGATCCATTTTACCAACTGGTCAGGTCAACGATGTGGTGACCTCCGCACAGCGTTGTCTCTTTCATCTGGATTGCCTATATCTTGGCCCCTTGGTGTGGGTGACTTTTTGCAAGGGTCTCATCCACTACGAAGGCAAGCAGGAGGAATGGGCACCATGGGCGACTTTAAAAAAATTTCAGTAGTTATTTGCACCTTCGAGTTGGGCGCTAGGTTTGATCTTGTTGTGAACAATATGCGAAAACTACAGTCTTCTGAAATGAAAGCACTAGTTGATCGCATAATATTGGTGTGGAACAACCCTGATGTAGCCGCACCGGAAATCGACGGAGTCATGGTTTTGTCTGCTACCAAAAACTCTATGAACAATCGTTGGATACTACCCTTGCCATACATCAGGACAGACGCAGTCTTGGTACTCGACGACGATCTCTTGGTAAGCAAAGATGGAATATTATGTCTTTATCGATGGTGGTGTCTGTATCCTGAACGACCAGTTGGTACTTTTGCACGTCGTATAGAGACCAGAGACGATTCGTATGAATACGTCATGTCTGAGCTCTTTGGAGATAGGGAAATTGATAGTAAGGGCGCCTACAATATCATCCTCCCACGAATCATGTTTTTGAGCAAGAATCTCATGTCGAAGTACGCGGCGACATCTAAAAAACTACTTGACTACGTGGATGACCAAGGAGCCCACTGTGACGATATTCTTCTGAATACCTTATCTATAAAAGATTCTGGTACCATTGGTCTACGAGTCGTGTTACCACGGGACAGCGTGGTTGATTGTTACGACATCGGATTCCAACGTGGACTCGATGGCTTCCATGGTCTTTCTAACACCAAAGGGGGAAACAGAACTGCTATGCGGAAACAATGCAGCAAATTTGTTATAGAGGAGCTTTTAACGGGTAAAGAATTGCCCTTAGCAACTAAGGTTGGTGTTTGTGCTCCAGACTGGAAAGGTAAATCTGCTGGAGGAAATAGTTTAACGGAGGCTTCTCAAGTACAGTCAGATAGGTGGAAACAAACGTTGATCTCTTCTGAATTGGGGCTTGGCATATGTAAACTGCTTTAGGTACTACTAGTTTTGAAGTTCGGTGAGGCGAAAAGTGAAATACCAACTCGAGCTAAGCCAATACACATGAATAAAGCCGATCGCCCAAGCATATATTCTTCCTCGAGTAACTTTTGATTGTTTTTATTCTCCGTGCTTGTCCTCACCCACGTGTTACTTGTTTTGTGGTTTGAAGTCTGCGCTTGTCTTCTTTGTCTTAAAGATTAATAGTTACTATAACGAGACATAACTACTATACTTAGACAGGTTAATTAAATAATAGACTTTTAGATACTATGGTTTAACTTGAATACTATAGCTAGACTATATATACTATACCGAGGATGGTTACTTGAACTTGGATTGAACTTAGATTTGGAGACCAATATAACCTAGTTACTATAAACTAGACTTACATACGAAAACAAGACTAGTTAGTATAACTAGACATATCTAGCCTGATTGTAGTGTCTAGTCTATTTATAGTAACTAGTGTATTTAAAAAATTTAAGTTTAGCTATATTGTATCTATAGCTAGTGGCAGTATCTAAGTCTAGTTGTAGCAACTAGCCTAGAAATAGCAACTAGTCTAATTAAAGCAACTGGTTGTGTTACAGTGTCTAAGTCTAGTTTATAAAAACTAGTCTGATTGTAATATTTATGTTTAGTTATACTATCTGGCGTAGGTTTAGTAGCTAGTCTATAGGCAGTAACTAGGTTGGCTATGACAACCAAGCCTAGTTCTAACAACCAGCTTAGTTATAATAACTAGTTATAGGAACTGGTTACGATCAAGTCTAGGAG